GTCATCACGTCAAAATTCAATGCGTTAAACATTTATTGTGTGTTGACTGACTCATGCCATCGGTAGAGCATGAATGGCACTCTGTTTGTGATGGCAAAATTATTCAGTGACCATATTGAAATTTCCAAAATAAAATTGACAAACACTCACCATTTTATGTTTCTGAAGTGAAACGTTTTTTTTTTTTTTAAATGAAAAACGAACATCGTCGAATTGTGCGATGTGACAATCTTGGCAGTCCGTTTATATACACAGATAGTGACAGCCATTCAGCAGAATAAAACGAAATAACAACAGCTTATTTGAAGGAAAAACGATACGCATAAGAAAAATGCTAAAAGAAAAAAAAAAACATGGTATCACATTCAACAGCTGTTATATTTCTCATATATGAAGTAAAAGCGCCCATTTAGCTATTTACTTCTTCGGTTTTATTCTTTTTTATTCCTTATCATCGTCATAACCGTCGGTTTGCGGCTGAAATACACTCCAATTGAAAAATCGACAAAAAAACTTGCGTGAATGAATACGTGAGGATGTGTTATAAAAATAACACCAACAATCCGACAATATCAATGTATTTATTTCGGAAATATACACATTCATCATGGAGAAAGCAAACGTTGAAAAAACATAAAATCAATGCCGACACCATGTTAAATTAAGGTCCATTTATAATGATAACATATTTTTATTTCGACATAGATTTAGCCGTTTATACATGCTTATATGGGTATTGTGTTGTTCTATCAATAGATCCGTGTGGCCTGAAAATATCGGTTGCTTTCTTTGAACTTCTTCTTCTAGGCCACACATTGCTCGAGATTGAATTCCTGAATACGTTTTTGTTCTCTTCAAAGGCAAACAACGCTGATAAAAAGAAAGCGATAAGACGTTTGCAGTTTGTACTGTGTAGTGTATGTGATAACGTTAAAACAGTTTTGGTATCATGACTACATGCACTATTTCCCTTGCATCAGTAAAATTTCCTGGATTCATTGAAACATTTTCCATAAATGTAAAAATAAATTCCAAAGCGCACATAAATACACACCAGACATGGGAAAATGTCGAATAGATTTTTGTCATCAATTATGTTTATACCTTCTCTACATCTCTAGATCTCATCAATTTCGAAAGAACACCGACACAAATGCCATAATTCAATTATTCGCTGCATATTCATCCAGTTTTCAAAACTGTGTCAAATGAATGAAACGCTGTCGACAACTTTTCGCAAATAAAACCAAATCAACGCTGCAATCATATCAAATGCAATCAATGTTTATACTCATTCATATCGAAAAGTAAAAGTATTTCGATTTTCTTTTGTTTGCATTTGTAATGCATTGACATTCGTGCGACTCATTTCCATTGAATTTCAATCATTTTACTATAAGTGCATGTACACGACAAGAAAGTTCAATTTCCACAATATACACATCGATGTATGAATATCGAACACATATAATTGCATTTTTCTTTTTCTTTAAACAAAAAAATGAAACATGAACTAAATTTTCGAATTGTAATATTAGACGAGAACAAGAGCGAATCAAAAAATAAATAATAATAACGGGCCGTGTGTGTGGCTGCCACCTGCTGGCGCATTTGCCATCATAACCTTTAAAAAGTAGGCTACATTCTTTTCATATGGTCCGTTCTAGTTTTATATTTTTTGACGGCCCGTACACACAGCCAACTACAATATAATGTATTTGTTTTTCATAGTTGAACGAGCGAAAGAAGGAATAACAACGAAAATTTAGAGAAAAAAAAGAGAACAGAACACTCAGACACACATATAATTTCGCGGTAAAAATGCATAGAAAAATTCATTTCGGCACGAACACTTTAACCTTGTTCATTAAACTGTCGATGTCGGATCGCACTCATGTATGTGCATCGATTTGTTTGTTATGTGTATAATTTTATATTATAATATTTGGTTTGAGTCTACATTTGCTATGGCATGAAAACCGCAACGTAAATAACCAACGAAAAAAATATACGCAAGAACGAGAAAGCGCAAGGCTCTCATAATATGGAATTATAAAATTTAACAAAAACCTCGAGAATTCTGAGAAAACCAATTAACTGATCTATAATATTGGTTTGAATTTTATTATAGATTTTCATTGAGATCAGCTGCCGGTCAGTTATTGTTAATGGCATTCGTGTTAGTGAACTGCTTTAATATTTTTTTAAGCAATTGAACACGTAATATATGTAGCGGTCGTCGTTTAATTCATAGAATTATTGGCCACAATCTTTAATTCATTTCAAATGATTTTTACAGAAAAGATTTTTTACGCAGTTTATTGGGTTGTTATAAGCCCATTATTATGGATAATGATCGCTTTGAGTGAGAAAGAATTAAAATAAATCCACACGATTCCCGTTTTGTTTGTGCAAAACTTGCATACGAATTCGTATTTCATTGCTTTTATATATTCCTTTACATCTTTTTAATTGCACTAACAGCAATATGGAACACATATATCTCGAAAAGCTCAAAAGAATTATAAAAATGCCGTCGGCTAGATTCAATTCCGGTCAACGTTTTTTTTTTTTCTTCATAATATGATATGAATTCGTTCGGGATGTTTCTATTCTGCCATCAAATGTGATGAGATATGTACATTTTTAACATACATCTACAGTGCCTGGGGTCAAGCAATACATCATCGCTTGAGTTTCAACACCAACTTTTCTAATTACTTAAAGCAAGAATATAAACTGGCACAGAACTAAACAGCGAACAAAAAAAAAACTTCTGACCGATTTGAAAATTACGATGTGATTTTGGAATTTCTATTGAATTCTTTTGTCTATCAAATTGGATCTCTCAATATATTTCAATTAAGTTCGAACGCAATCATGTCAAATGAAAGAAAAAAAAACTACGGTTGCCACTTGACCAAATTGCTATTGGTATTGATTGCATGGACAAAAACAGTACATATACGAAAAGCCAACGACACCAATGACATTGAAAATTAATCTTTTTTTTATTAGTTGACTCATCAGCCTATATGTCTCACTTTGAACCGCATTACAAATGAAGAATGCCATTCGAACGAATACATTATTAATGAATGTAATTGCCTACAAAGGAGTTTTTTTTATGAGCATGCATTTGAATTAAAGTTTTAAAAGAAAACATTGTTGTTTGGCATGAACTTTTCAACTGGACTTTTATGGTTTTATCGGTGCACATGTTCATTACATAACCAGTTGAACATGTGAGGCTATTAGTTAGGAACGTTCTTAATACGAATTTCTTATGTTCGGTCATTAGAATCGCATGACTTCAACTTTTTTATATAAAGATCATTCGATTTTAAATGGATCGTTTTGGTGTATCTAGGACATTTTAAAGACGAGAATTCACGTTATTGTCATCTGGTTATCATTTGATTCAGTCGTGTGTTTAATGCAAAATGGAATGATTACTGCAAAAAGAAAAGTTATTACTTTTAGAATGTCAGCGCGAATTTTGGTTGTTTTGAATTCTTATGCTGATCCAATCGGAAGCCATAACTTTCAATGGCTTGAGTTTGAGAAAATTTGAATTGTTTAAACGAAAGAGAGAGAGAAAGAGAGAGAGACGGGTGCTCATAATAGATTCTAGATGTATACGCAAACAAATGCAATAAATGGTTGATGACGAAGAATAGACAATGGTCAGAATGCGTTCAGAATATTCTTGCCATATATCGTTACTGGTAGCAACAAGCTAATCTATTATTCAGAGTAGTCGTTGTCTTTGTTGTTTTGCAGTTCGAACGATTTTTCACAAATAATAAATGTGCGGTGGATAAAAACATGTGTGTTCCAACATGTTACAACATGGCAATCGCAAAAGATATTGCTCTTACATATTATTTAGTTGACATTTTTGACATTTAATATTGCACCCAGATAAATGGAGAGAGAGCGAGAGAGAGAGAGATCACAAACAATGAATTCATTTTACTAATTTATGAACCAATTCAATCACATTTATTAAGATAATTTGGGTATACAAATGAGTCTATAAACAATCGGATAATTCAAATGTACGGATGTTATTAATGGGCGAAATGTTCACACACACACATACACACACAGTAATTTAAACTATAAAATCTAAAGCATGCCATGAATTAAAATCGATTGACAAGCGAATAAATAACAATGTCAATGCAACTTTAATAATAATTTATTAAGTATCTCATCAAAGAGCACTTATTTACGAAAAATCACAAATTTATGTCGACCAAATGTGTGTGTGTGTTGTTTGGAGTAAAATTCATAACGTCACCATTCATTGAACGGATAACATTATTAATTTCAATTTCCTGCCACCACATTGGAGGATTCTGATTTTGTTGTTTATTTTCGCCAGTCGCCAATTTATAAAGAAAATCATTTGCGACATAAAATTAGTTTTCGTGCTCAATGAAATCACTATATGCTCAAAAATAAATAAACATTACGTTTTACTCATTTCATTCACATGTTTTTTTTTTGTCTTTACCAATCGTTCGACGAATTGATAGACCCCACTAATGTGCACACAAGTACGTGCAAAAACAAAACAAGCAGCCGTACACCTTGGTTGTGTCAAAGAGAAAGACGTACATAAATACGTTTGTTTTTACGAATTTTTATTTTCATTGTCAAAATCACGTTCATAGCTGAAAGCAACGCATCGATTCATCGAATAACAGTTTGACATCGAATTGCTTTCTCATAGCTGAATAGAGAGAGAAATAAAAACATCGTATGTGTCTCAAAATACATGTTTTTCGCACAAAATGTGTATTTCGGGTATGATTCACGATTCGAAATTCCGGAAATAGTGATTAGAGTAGGTTTGACTTCGATGACATCGACTGCAATACATGTTGCATGGACGGAAATATATAACTATATACAAATCTCTCAAAATGGATGAAGTAAATGGTTGGAAAAAAAGAAGAACGAACAAATGCAGAAAAAGAATTGAAACTCACCTCGGTATACAATCTGATGGTGTCCTATCCACTTCCCACGCAGCAAACAATTTCATTGGAACTGGTTTATTCATGTTGGCTAAACGTTCCAATCGTGTCGGTTTCTCTGCTAATACCTTCGACATTTTTGTTTCTTTGTATTGATAGATCCCTTAAAAACTTTGGTTACTTGGTTTTTATGACTCTTCTTAAATTTTATTATATCGTTTGTTCGACTCTTCTTCCTCCTCTTCTATTGCGGTTTATTTAAACAAAAACCAAATGTTATTAGTCGATGTTCTTTTTTTGCATGGAATATTAAATATAAAACAGCACTGAACAAAACATCGTTGACAAAAACACCTTCTTCTTTTATTACTATTACAATTGCACCGATCGTAAATTGCTTGAGTTGAAATCGAAAATGAAATCGAAATTGGATGCGATAGTGTGCTGTTGTCGTCGAAATAATATTGCACACGAACAACGCATTTACAATGTAGACGAAGAGATAAAAACAATTGTCACTATGTCATTTCGTGTCGATTGATGATTTCTGCTTGGTTTTGCGATTTTCTGTTCGTCTCTTGTTGCTCTTTTATCGTTCGATATTCTGTTTTTTTTTCTAGTTTCTCCTTTTGCCGTGTGCAATTTCCGTGAAATGATTGAGAATTGTTTGCTTGCACACAGTCACAATGGACATTCAAGAATGAATTTTATACATATATGTGTGCTGTGCATGTATCATCGTCTGATCTCGTTGACATGTAGCAACATTTTAGTTTAGATTTGATGTCAATGTTGGCCGTCTTGATTTTGCATCCATTGGCTTATGCATTCACTTTAATTTCAGTAAGATAGCGCAACGCATAAATAACCAATGCAATCACCAATAATCACTGTATATGTTTACTTTGTCGTTGAAGATTCGCCACTACATTTAGATGTTGGCTGCCCCACACTCGCTATTCAAATACACAAACTGTCGTCTTTTCTTTCAGCTTCTCGCACAAGTGTCACGATACTGATGCTTTTGGACAGGGGTTGTTTACAATGTGTTTTATTTATAGTTTTATTGGTTTATGTCATTTTTATTTTGCAATAACATGATCAGATTACATGCAGTTTTGGATTTTGTGTATGCGGTACAGATGCAATCGGACGATAATTTGTGATAAGCGATTTTGTATGGGCAACAAATGTCTTCGGCTATTAAAAATGCTCAATGTTCATATGTTCAATTTTGTGGTATGTTCAAATGATTGTTGTTGTTTTAATTTTTCGTCTGAATTATTTTTCTGTTATTGTTGTACACCGAATATATATGCTCAACACGACCCAGATTTATACCAATGAAATCTTATTGAATAAACAGTCAACGATACAAAACGCATTATGTCCAAGTACACAAATTTGTGTACACATATTCATACGACACTAAGTCATACAGAAAATATTGAAAAAGAAGAAGCAAATGTAATCAAACTCGCGCACCCGTTTCGTTTATGCTCTTTGTTACACAAATACACTCTCTGTCGCACACACACACATACAAAAAAACACATTACATATGTGTACACACGTACACATCCACTTTTACTCGCGCATCAACGACACAGACACGCGCTTACTTTACGGCAGCCACTGTTTGAGCGATTTGTCCAAAAGAAAAACCGAGAGAGCCAAAGTGCGAGAGATGATGAAGTGTAGCGACACTATTATTATTGTTTAAATAACAACAAAAATTGAAAATCGAATTTTTCTTTATCATTTAATTTCGGTTTCGGCCAAAGAGACTGGAAGCCGATTCGCACAGCATAGCAGCTTCACCGAATTGAATGTTGCACAGATGAACTGAATCCACTTTTATTTATACACGCATTCAATATTTTTCTTTCACATAAATATTATTATTTACACTTTGACAATATATCGCATTCATTGGTGTTTTTTTCTTTCTTTCTTCTTCTTCTCTTCTCTCTTCTTTCTTGCTCTTTCTCACTATTCTTATTTATTATTATTATTATAAATTTTTGTTTTAATATTATTGATTGAATTTGAGTTGTCGGATTGCAGGAAATCGGTGCTATTTCGGTGCATTTCTATGTTTTATTCGCACAATTATTTTAACATTGATCACATATTAGATTATTTTATTTTGATTATTTTTATTTTATGGTTGTTGTTCAGCATTCTCTCTATTCTTTAGACGAATTTAATTTGTGCGCCGATGTGTATGTGTGAGTTTAATTTACAGAAAGAATTTTGTTTTTTTTTTGTGTTTATCCGACGAGTGTCGCACATCTACTGAATGTATATATTTTCAGCGGGTTCAGCCTGAGCATTTCGGTAGCTGTCAGTGTGTGCTGGGATTGGCGTGCATATGCTGGTATGTGTATGTGTGTTTGAGTGTTATTGTTGTTTTTTATTCGTCTCTCTGTTGGTTTCGTTCGTCATTCACACATTTTGCACGATGCTATTGGAACAATTCATATAGCATTGAAAAAGTGTTTCCCGATGGTAGAATAGCCCTTGACATTCGCATCGCCAACGATGCGATACCACTATACATCATACATACCAAAAGTTATTAAATTCTTGATGATTGAAAGCACGATGTCAACATTTCAATACAGTTCAATAGATGGCGCTAGAAAAATTTACCTCAAATTCTAATACATTTCGCAATAAAAAAAGAATTATGCAGATTTTGTACGTACATATACATAATGACAAAATAAGATTACAAACATTTGAAAAGTTCAAAATGGTGATCGATTGGATTCTTATTGCTATATTTTTATTCATTACACTTGCAATTACTGTAATATTCCGGAATTTCCATCATAGTTTCAAACTCGAGTAAAATTCAGACGGAATAAAAGTCAATTCTAATTTAATTAAAATAGTTGAGTGAAAAACTAGTTTGAATTCAATGAAAAATTCTATTTTTTACCGTATTTTATTTCTTATTTTTTTTATAAAAAAGGAATGTACGAAACAGTTTTCTTTCAAGATGTAAAATATGGAGAAGCCGAATTACTTGAAGATGGTACATTTGGTGGTAGCGGTGATATTCCCAAATGTTGTTGAAGATGACTGTGTGTTTTCCATACATGTGCATGCAAATCCGGATAATTACTTTCATATGTTGTCATTCGCTCTTGATTTGGATCCTGTGAATACTCCAACATACTTTGCAAATGACGAATATAGCTAATTGCAATTCTGAAATGTTGTGAAACAAGGTTCGATTAACATTTTATTCTCTGGCCGTACAAAGTAACTGATTCAGAGTCGATGCCAATAAAACTTACCGAAGGCATTCAATTTTCGAATATTTTTTGCCGGACGGTTTGGAAATTGGTAGTTTGGCACGTAGCAAATCAAAGGCTCGATTCATATCACGCATTCGGGTTCGCTCTCGATCGCATGCTGTTTTTTTATATTCTACAAATTTATATATTTTTTTTTACAACAAAAAATGTGTAATTCATAACACATTCACAATAAACAAAGAAAACTAAATGATTTACCGTTCGAATCAACCGTTGTATCATTTTTCTGATACAGCGCTGTTGTTTGTAGCGATGATACAATGTGTGGATTTTTTAAGGCTCTTGGGCTATAATTTTCCGGAAGTGGTTCTGTGCAATAAGATATCAAGATATAAGATTGGAATTACTTTTCAAATGAAAGAAAAATCGGAAATGATCCCTTTTATTTTACAATGAAAACAAACAATAATCACCTTTAGTGGCAAAAGATGATGTCACAGTGATGGGTAGTTTATCAGTTTGTCCGCACCAGTTGGCATTTGATAACCGAACGATGCGTTGCTCTTGAAATTCAGTGAATGCTGGATATGGTGGCGATACGATATCATGTTGAGCTTTCCAATGGCCTAAATATGGTTGATTGTTAATCGATGTAGGCAATGCATGCGCTCGTGGCGGTGGTATAATATACGTTGGTTTTGGTCGACTAACGCCGCCAATTTCAAGTATAGTTTTTGGTTCGCTTGACTCTTCTTCCATCTCACAAATAATTAGACCACGCGATGGAATTGCAACTGGATGATGAATTGTACTCGTCATTGAAACGGAATTCCTTTTTTTCTCGAATTTTTTTTTATTCGATTTGAAAATGACTAGTTTTAAATTCACACACACCCACCGATCAACATTCAGTCGAAATGAAAGCGAAAAAAAAAATGGTCGTTGAGCGAAATCACTCAAAATTCAAATTCAATGAAAATCAGTTTCGTTGTTTAATGCTGTAAATATTTAACTTCGCACTATTGTTACAACTCGAACGAAATATTTGAATTGTCTGTCACACACTTGTGGATACGTACGATTTTTTTTTATCAGTATGTTTCTGTCGATGGAACTTTGTGAAATGGATTCATTTTCGTTTTTATGAAATTTTATTTCAAATAAGTATATTCACATACATATTTTCTTCGTCGTTCGTCTATTTCTACTGTTCGTGTCTCATCCATCCGTTTGTGTTTCAATTTTTTTTTTGCCCTCATCATAATATGTGTTTTCTTCGGTTCAACCTGTCGATCGACCGTCTCTTTGTCTAGGTGAATTCTCGATGCAAACGCGCGTATGTATTCGTGTTGGTGGCAATCAACATCTGTTTTTCTTCTCGTTCCGCTGATGTGAAATGATAATATGAGTGTATATTGTCGATCCGTTGAGTAACCGTTTTCATTTCTGAACCAATAAGGTTCTGTTTTTTTTAAAAACTGTCCTACCCACCGTTACATAGAACAATGTAAGCGTGTGATCGAGAGTGAAAGAGCGCGCACGTGTGCATTCTTTGAATATTCATAACAACGGATCGTAAAGAATATATCGATCACAATTACCAATGATAAAGAATTGTTGTTTATTATATGGAAATCATTTAAGAGTTTTGTGGAAACTGCTTCAGAATATTGTCAATTTGCGAGGAAAGCACACTCATGTCGCATACACACATATGCCGCCATGTGAAAACAAGTAGCAAATGTTTAATTGAAATTATTTGATTGGATTTAATGAAATCGAAACATTGGTAGATAAAAAAGAAACGGTGGACAGCAAAAGAAAATCGACTCTGAACGTAGATTTCAACATTCTCTAGAATTGTATTAAATAGGGTAATGTGTATTTTGGCGTTGTGTCAACACAAGTGTTTTTTATGAATCATACGTTTTTTTATATACATTTTTTTTTGCTTTTGTTGCTGCTACTGCTGCTGCTTTATTCTATCTTGCGTATTTGTTCACCTTTTCTTTTCAGTTTCATTACAGATTCAAAATTTTATTGTTCGATTGTTGGTTCATTTTTTCGTTTCGATTTTACTGTCGTCGCCTTCATCGATCCACTTTCATTTTCTCACATCTACAAAACCATACAACTCAACAAGTGCTCCAAATCATCACTTCGATAAATTTTTATTCATAATAAAACAAAACAAAATAAAATTCAATACATTTCTGTAATATTGTCAACAATTTTTTTTTCTTTTCATTTTGTTTTATTTTTCTTCGTTCAACTCTTATCGTTTTCATTAGAACAAGCTTGTTTGTATAAAATAGACTTCGGTTTCAATCAATAAAATAGAAATCATTTGAAAATTTGCAACGGATGTTTTTGATAATGGTTTGAACAACGAAATATATTTGGTCAAAGGACGCGTGAAATTAAGAGCTCATTTTTTTTCGTAGGTGTTCTTTTTCCATTTATTATGTGACATCAAGTCTCGCCAACAAAAGTGTCACATACGGAAGTTGACGATATAAACAATAACGTATGCCATATAGAATTGTATACAAAAAACCATGACTCTGTGGTCAATGCATGTGGATGACAAACAAAGGTCCCAACCAAACGCAAAAGAAAAGAAAAAGAAAAGAAGAAAAACACACATACTGAATGGAAAACAAAAGCTGCCATACTCTTGCTACTGTTGACACGCTGTTTCTATTTTTTTCCATCTTGTTTTCTTTCGGTTCGTTCGTTCATCGATGGTAGCATTGAACGCAAATAATACTCTGATTATGATGACTTCTTTTTTTTATTATTTAAAACAAAATACATTTTGAAAGCGATACGAAAAACTAACGATATTGTTGAATCATTTCAATTTTCTTCGATTTGTAGTGTATTCCGTTTTCTTCTATTTGACATAAATAATGTGCAACGAAACAAATTCTTTCAAAGCATTTCTTTCGGTCTTTTTTGCGTATTATTGTCGATACATGTTCGAGACACAAACATCCGAAGAGAGTGCAATGCATACAAATCATTTAATTGTTAAAATGACATTTAATGGTAATATATTTGGAGTGGAGAAAAGACAAGAGGAAATGACCGTACGTAGTTCAGTTTAGTTTAACACACAATTTTATTATTCATGTTTACGTTAATCATATTTGTTTGTTTTAAACCATTTAACCGAAGCAATAGTCAAAATGCGATGTATATTAATGAGGCCAGTGCTGCATTTTGTGACAATGCATTTCATTTTCTTCATTTCTTTTGTTTTTAAGAAAGAAGAACTAGTGAACAAAATATATATAAATAAATACAATATTTATAAAAAAAACTATTTTGCTAATCGAATTTAAGTTGTCTGATCGCCATGAATTGATCGAGTACATCGTCGGTGACCAATTTTCGATTTGTTTGATGTTCGGCCACAATGGGTTGTAGTGTTTCTATTGCTTTTGCTTTGAGTTCGCCACTAAGCATTGTGCCATTTGTATATGAAACGCGAATTCGTTCCAATTCATCGTCATCGGGCAGGAAGAAACGTAATAATTGAAATGATACATCAACATTTGTGTTTCCACCTTTGGCACGATGCTCCTCAACAGTTTGTTGACCACCAGAGAATGCATGCTTATTGATCTATGATTAAAAGTCGATTAGAATTATTTCGAAATGAATCAATAAAATATGCGTTACCTTGGTTTTTATTTGTTTTGGAGTATCTGTTAAAAAGACGGCCGAATTGGTGTCACTGGCGGACATTTTCGTTTTGGCGCCTTGCAGTGCCGGAAAGAATGTGGAGTGTATGAGTGCCGGTTTGGGGAAGCCAAGACGCGGTGCCACATCTCTTGTCATACGAAAATATGGATCTTGATCGATTGCACATGGAATTAAACAGTGCACCTTTTTATCACCAAAAATGAACGGAAATGTCGATGAAAACGATGGTGTTGCCTGCACCGCTGGAAATGCGATTTTACCAATCGGGTCCGAATCACCAAAACCAAAAATACCTTTCACTTGATTGAATGTTACACATTTTTGAATTCGAATCATATTTTGGTAAAAGGCCGGACACTTTCTGCGAATTTGGAAAATACGATTTTTATTTTTTTTGCTCATTTAGATTTTGGTGTCAATTTATCACATACCCAACAAAATCCAAATCCGAAAAGATGAATGTTTTATTGACATCAAAACCCATTGCAATAATATCTTTAGCATTTTCTCTCGCTAATTTCATTGATTGTTCAACTTTCAAGTCTTTCCATAGTGTTTTCTCGTCATCGGTTAATTGAATGACAAGAGGCACATTCAGTGTTTCTTGTAACCATCTATAAAAAAATACATTTTGTCGACAAATTAATGACAACATTCGATTGATGGCGATGAAAAAAAATATGATTTACTTTGTAAAAATAAAGGGGATGAGATGTCCTAAATGCAATGATTCTGACGACGGTCCGCGGCCAGTGTACAAATAAAATGGTTTTCCTTCTTCTTTCAGCCGCAATATTGTGTGCAAATCACGGTGTGAAAAGAATATACCGCGACGAATAAAGTGATGCACGGGCTTACCGATGACTTGTTCGAATCGTTCAATGATTGCGTCATCAACTTTTGAACTACCAAAACGCTCTGAAAACAATTATTTCAATTATATGACATTTCTTTCATTCCATTCAAAATATAAACAAATTGAAAGAGTGAGACAAACAGGGGCAATCAATTCGGTGATGACATTAGATGCTTACGTATCAATTTGTCGTAATCAATGCCGGTATCTGATTGACTTTGTACACTCCATGGATCAACAAAATCATCACTCTCCTCCAGTTTGAGTGCATCAATTGCTGTTTCTGCTGCTGTATTGTTATCAACGCTATCACCCATTTTTTTGTTCCAATACTTTTAATGTATAAACTATTTCAGTCAAAACAAATATGAACAGACGGCGTGTGTGGCTTTGTGAATATGTCGTATACGTTTACTAAGCGCTTTGTGTTCACACACGTTTTTTATGAACGACAGCACATTTGACACATGAATACCGCATTCAAATTGACAAAATGACGTATTTCAATGGCTCGTTCACAATCGAACAATTCGATGACGACGCCCAATGTACTTTTATCGAAGCTTTTTCTTTTTATTTGTTGTTTTATTTTTTCAATATATATTTTGATTTGCTCTTTTTTAAATAGCCAAAATTACAATGTATTTAATTAAAGTGAATGGAATTGATCACATAAGTGAATGGAATTTTTTTAAAAGGAAAACGAAACTGCAAAAAAAACTGTCATTTTTTCACGTCGTCGAGGAAGCGTTCAATTGCAACTCACTTCATGCACATTTGTCGGATATTTATGTTCAAGTTTCATTTCATTCGATTATTGACATAATATTTCCCATACACTGAAGCATTTTTTGGGGGAACATTTTTTTTCTTTCATCGTTAAGGTAATTTATCATAGCAAATATAAACAAAAGTACATAAATTGCTGAGACCATTATCTATTGTCAATTCACGTGTGGAAAAATGGGCACCGAAGTGATAAATGTTAGTTTTGATGTGTTACAAGAAGAGCTCGACAAAGCAAAATCAACTCTAAAAGGTTTAAATGACAACATCAGGCGAATCAGTGGCCGAGAGCCACCCGATCAATTGAGGTTAGTTTTCAATATATTTTTTTCTTAATTTCTTTATTTCACGTTTGAATTTATTGATTAACACATTTTGTATAATATTTCCGTTCTTACCGTGTGTTATGTTGATGCGATTGAAATGAAAAATCCAAAAACATCATCAAAAAAAAAACAATCATTACGTGTATGTTTGTAGAGGAGACCGCAAGCGTACGTTAGACAGACGGGCCGATAGAGATCGTAATGACTATGCCGCCCAATTAGATTCACGGAATCGATTGAATCGAGACAGAGAAAGAGATCGTGATAGAGATCGGGATGGTTCACCGCCGCCGGCAAAACGAAAGCCAGAAACAAAATCGGTGTTTAGTCGATTGTCAGGACCATCAAGTGGTCGTGATGATGATGCAAAACCAAAATTAAATTCACGTATTATACGGGAGCTGCCGACCAAAGAAGAAATTGTCGAAGCACAGGGTAGTGATCCAGCATCACGGGCTCGTAATCGTCGGATGTTTGGTTCGTTGTTAGGTACATTGCAAAAATTTTGTCAGGAAGAGTCACGTCTTAAACAAAAAGAACAGAAAAAAGCACAAATCGAAAAGAAACTGGAAGATCAACAGAATCAAGAACGTGAAATTATGAAAAAAGAACGACAAAATTTGTACAACAATCGAAAGCGACAACAAATGGAAATTAAGATGTTGGAAAATAAAATGAATTTGATGAAAGAGTTTGGCACATGGGAAGAATCAAAAAAGCCGCTTATGAATTTCATTCGAACGAAGACCAAACCACGTATTTACTATTTGCCAAAAGTTATGGATAAACGCACCGAACGCAAATTGGATGAATGTAAACGTGATATTGAAAGTAAGTTAATTTTTTTTCATTTCTCTTTCAGACATGTACACACACAAAGAAGCCAATTGACCATCCATCATGCCATAAAACATAATCATGAATTGCGGTCAATGGAACATCAAGCATATTTTGAGATGTCTAGTGAATGCAAGTGAATCGCCTAATTGAAACACGCACCCCACAAACAAATCGAATTCATTCGATTGTGAATCAATTCATAATGAAATGAAGCAAATGACACGAAACAATACTCTTTTTATTGTGTGTGTGTGTGAATTCATTCACATTTTGTATACATATTTATTATTATTATTATTCGGCCCTTACGAAATATCGAACATATTGAATATTGCATTGACACCGCAACGCGCTATTGTATGAGATATTGTGTAAATGATCGAATCGACAGAGAATGATAGCGCGTACTTGAGTATGGTTTTAATGTATATATGAGTCATATGTTCCGAAAAATTGAAATTTTCCGACAATATTCTCTTTCGCTCTCTCTCTCTCTCCATTTTTCAACCAACGTTTGAACACATTTTCGCATTGAAATAGACCATGAATTTGTCGGCATTCACAATTGTATCGTCATTTTTCGTGGCGATTTCATATTAACGCACCACATTTCAAACAAGTGCAAACATATTACTTTTTGACGAATTGACAGATAGTGGCGAGCAAATGTGTTTCATTCATTTCCAATTTCTCGATTTGGTCGTGTTGCTTGTGACTCGCATTGAAATATGAAATATTGTCGTGTTATGCGGTACACGAGTTGGTGCACGAATGTATGCATATTTGGCCGCACGCATATGGCGGTAACAATAGAACTTTCGAAGGCAACGTTTCATATCACAATGAATCTGAATATTTTAAAATGAATGCTCAATGCTTTCAGTTTTCGAGAAATTGACTCACACTCACTCATCCATTCTGTCGTTTGTAACTTTTCATTTAATTAGCCCAAACAACGCCATTCACTTACATTTGATCGAGATGAAATTGTGGCCGTGTACCGTGGTAAGCACAGTACATTTACAGTTGCGAACAGCTCATAAATATCGTTCGATGTTGGTGGTCCGTGTGATGTGGATCGTGAAATATTTCGGACGATACACAAAATTCATGCGAAAGCAAGTAAAATGTGGATATGCGAAGCAATATCCAAAAATAATCGCCATAAAACATTACTTGAATTATTTTCTCAAAAATGAAAAGCCCATATCCCGATGACATTTGACCAAAATGCTCACTTCAATATCTCTGGGCTACTATCCACTGGTGCCAAAGTGAAAACAAATCGAGAGAATATTCCGATACTCAAAATACTCACATAAACCAAACTAGACAATCGGCAAAATATGTAAATAATAAAACATAGTTCGTTGAAAAATATACAGCCATTTGAATGAAATACCATTTTACATTATCTACATAAACGATGCTGTAAATAGATAATAATGTGAATCGTTTGCCGCGTGAATGTCGAATGCAAATAGTTACATTTGCCCGACTCTTTCTCTCTTTTTAGGTTTGTGTGTGCATTTGTATATTATTTAGTCGATTGCCGCTGAAAATGGCATCTATTCAAGCGATTTATCAAACAGTGCGCGTTGACCAAAGTGACGATCTCTCTCACTCTCTCTACCTCGAATGTTTGCCAAAAAAAAATCACCGGCATCGCTATAGAGGCAGACGGTTGCCAAACAATTTTGCATATCGTGGTGGCTATTTTGTCGATGAAAAAAACGTATACATGCGCAAACTGAACAAAATATATACAAATTTAATGAAATGCAATTGTAGCTGATGTTGGCTTTTTTGCCGGTTTGCAACACACACACATACACCCTCCCCAAATCATTTGTGATAACATTCAGTTCGGCATCTGGGTCTTTTTCGGTCACTCTTCTCATTTCATTTTCAAAGTTTAATTCAATATGTGTGAATTTCGAAATTGAAACATGATTATTAGTTTAATCGCAAAACCACATTTTCCATGGGGCTCGTAATCAACTCATTTGATTTAAATTTTAAATTGTAGCATTGGTTCAGAAATTTCGAATTTATTACTAATAAATGCGCGTGCTGCATTCATAAATCATCTAATTGCGACATCCATACCACAACAGATTGTGACTCAAAATGAATTAGCTCGCGCGCGCTTCTGTGTGCATGTTAATTTTTGGGGGATTTTCGAAAATTGTCTCATATGGAATGGCATATATAATTTTGTTTTTATTCACTCTCATTCTCTGAGTGTTTTTTTTTGTTATTCTCTTTTCATCGTTTTGCATCGTTTAGAACAAATTGAAAAGCGGCGTGCTGAGGTTAACGAAGAAATGGCCGAAATTGTTAATCGTTTTGAAGCCGCAACGGAAACACTGCAACCAATGTCCGATTCGCATAATGACAGTGCTCAAAATAATTCGTCATTGTTCGAACAAAGTTCATCGAACAATCATACGGAGGACGATAGTTATTATTCAAATAACTTTAAATCGGTTGGTGGCAAACGTAACGATGAATCGCTGAATCATGGGAATGATAGCAGCAACGATGATGATGATGATGCCGATACAAACGATGAAGAAAGTCACTCCAAAAAGGGTAAGGCACTCCATTTTTTTTCGTCTTCTTCACGGATAACACATAATTTAAAGTACAAAACAAATAAAAATCCAACAAATTTTTTTCTTTATCTGTTTTTTTTATTTGTCTGTCTTTGCAGTCGTAAACATCAAAGTTGAAAAAGATGATGAACAATTTGAAAAGAGTGAAGCTAGTTTATTGATTTCGGAAGTACAGCATTCCGATAATGAGGATAATGAATCGAAACCACAACGAAGTCGTTCATCCAGTCAAACTTGAACCACACACAATTTTGAGCAAAGTTCAATTTTTATGTAAACAAACAGTACCGACAACACACACAAACACATATACATTCACCGTACTGAGGAGTCATTCTCTTTTCTGTTTCAATCGATACATTTTATTTTATTGAAATTGTTTGAACTGGCAAGTTTTTTTTTTCGTTCCACAAAGAAAAAAGCCCGAGGTGATCGCTGTTAGAAAATTGAGACAAAAAAAATCACAACAACCGATCTACAACTGCAGCCATCCACAATTTTTGAAAGACAAATACAATAGTAACAATAATAAGAAAACAAATAATCACACTTGACAAAACAAAAAAAATTTATGCCGATTTCGAATGAGGAGTCTTGCATTTTGAAGAAAAAAAAAACAGTTCTATTTTAGTTTGTATTTCCAACCTTTTATGTTTAGCGTGTATCTCATTGGTTTTATATGCTATAAATCAAATAAACTTAAATTCTCACAAAAAAATAAAGGCAATCACTGAATTCTATTTACCTCATCGCATAAAAAAGAATACATTTATCGAAAAATGCACGGCGAGAGAAAAATGTGTAGGAAATGATAGGAATTGAGACGAAAAGGAGTCAAATATCGTAATTATTTAGCAATGGCAGACAAGAGAAAATGCCATAAATCATGGCATTTTTCGTGATTGCTGTGTAGTTGTCGTTGTCGTTGTCGCCACTACGCTTCACGCTCGACAAGTCAAAAGGAGAATACAAGTCAGAAAATTGGGAACGAGATGGAACAATTTATGTACAAAACAAAACAACAACAACAAACATTCAACTGATACATTGGAATAAAAGTATTATAAAATAAATAAAATATATTATATACTTTCGTTTGGCAAAAATCCGATCAAAATCACAATCCAGCAACCAAAAACAAAGCCAAATGAATACTGCCAACTCAAGATCTATTTATTGCGGCCCGGCGTTGCTGTTTATTTCTCTCTCTGCGTGTCCTTTTTTTATATTTCACATCTATCTCATTATTGCTGTTATTATTTGATGCACATTTTTATCCATTGCCCGGCAAATTCATAACAACAACAACGATACCGTCGCGTAAAACGAACGAAGAAACAAAGACAAGCTCAAGAACAATAAGCTATGGACGCAAGACCTGAATAAGAAGAAGAAGAAGAAGAAAAATCAAAGAAAACTGTATCAGCCAATAAAACTCGTTACTGTGCGATTACAAATTGTGGAAGCAACAACAGTTGGATAAAATGCAATTTCAATTTCTGTTTTGCATCGAATTCATCGTTTATTTTCCATTCGACGTGCTCAATTCAATTTTTTCTCTTTTTTTTTCTTCCAGTTCTCTCATTTTGTTTTAGTTCTCGTCTGTTTTCGTTTCGGTGGCCATTTGGAAAAACCGACATTGCAAAACGCTCGCTTGTCTTAACAACAAATTTTCTTGTCTAAAGTCGATTTTTGTAAGAAAATCGTTTCCATTCCAAGATCACAATGTAGTTTATTTTAGTTTAGTTTGGTTTTGTGAATCAGTTGTTTTGTATGTATATTTCTTTTTTTTTGTTGTTGTCTTGAATTGCTGTTGAATTTTTATCAAGTTGCAAACGCAAAAACGAAAACGGAATCGAAATCTTTTTCGCTTTTTGTTTTGTGTTTGCATTTTACGAATGGATGGTGTAGCAAGGACGTAAAAACAAAATAGAAGACAGAAAAGCCAACGTTGACCCAACAAGAAATAACTGAAACTCAATTCATCAACAATAATTTGGAATTTTCTTGAATGAACGAAAAAGTTCAAAGTTGATTCAATTAGCGTCATGGACTTTGTTTCAAATTATTGTTAACAAAGGTTCTTTGTTTTTATTCAAACAAACATTCAAGATCATTTCAAGCAAATCGCTTCGCGAACCGCTCCATCGATTCTTTTGCAAACATTATTTTTACGGAATTTTTTTTTCTTAAATAATTGAATTGAAATAAGAAATTATATTTTAATTATTAGTGTCAATTTTAATGGTATCATCTACGTCACGTATTTGTGTTAAAGATATTTCCAGTGTATTATATCGGATTGATATGTCAACGAACGCGTTTGTAGCAAAAATTGTTTGTTTGTATGAAAAAAAAAAAAAAAAACATTATTCGCGGTCGTTCGTGTTGTGGGTTTAAAAATTGGAAATCTGCAATAATGATTTATTTTAAAGAAGTCCATGATTTGGAACCATGCGTAAAAATAGTTTCGTTTAATTGGAAAACAGATCAAAGGAATTTGGTAGATATCAAAGCATAGGTGATGACGAGGGTTCCTAGGGTTCGGGATTACCCCCCTCTAAAATATTTTTAGGAACCCTCAACAATTTTGGAAATGAGGACCTTTTTTTTGCTCCGAGAAAATTCTTTCGATTTGCTAAGGTTTTTCGTCAAAAAAGTGGAGAGCAAAAAAAAACGATTTTATCCTCATTTCCGAAAAATTGTTCACTTTGTCAGGGACCCCCATAGATTTTTCCAGGGACCCCCTACGGAATTTTGCCATCACCTTCCCTAAAAAAATGTACGTCATCATCTATGATATCAAAGGAATAATATTAATCAACTGGCAATGAATCAGATATGCATATGGTTTTCACGCAATGTTGATTGATTCATTGATTTTTAACGTCGTTGATTTCAGAGGAATAATAAAGTTTTATGCAAACGGTATTTTTATCTTCTAAATCTGTGAAACTTTTGGACAATCAAAGAGAATACATGTTGTCTCTTCAAGTTTTGAGGTTTACCTGTTTCGATACTTTCGGTTACGAATTCGGTAGATTTGAGGTGGAGAATTTGAATTTGTAACATTGACTTCGGCATCGTACATCTTCAGAACACAAAATTCATGTGTGATTTATGACTTTGATATTTGTGCAAAGATTATCGATAATTTATCGTCATTTGAATCAAAAACAAAAATGTAAAACACCCAGAATATCTAAGTCTAAACGAAAGTGGTTCGAGGGTTTTAAATCCAATTTATCTTGACTTTTATCATAATATTCCGAATATTGTATATTGAAATTGGTAAAAGAGGGATTTGAAAGAGAGATAGAGATAGGGATATTGTTTGTTGTCTGTATATTTTGTTAACCGGATAACGATTTAAACTTTTCTCGTGAGTAATTTTTATTGAAAGTTTTTCGAAGAACAGAAGGATGATCCGATGTGTATTGGTATACACAGAAGTGTTTGTATTTGTACTTGATACAGATAAAGTGAGATTGAAAGACTTCGGATGGATCTATGAGCGTGCAAGAATAATACTTGTCAGTAATTTCCGATTGCCGTTAGCGCATTTTTAATACCATCTATACATACTTGAGAGAGTATCAATTTTTCAATTAATTTTTTTCCAAGAAAACAAAGAAGATAATTATGGACTTTTCCAGTGAAGAAGAAAAAAAACGTCGGTGATTTATACGAATATCATAAGTTATAGCGAGTGCTCAAAATGGCCATCGGCAAAGTGTTTGTATCAAATTCTCGATGCATGTAAATCTTTCGACGTTTTCCTATTGATGTTTCACATTTGGATCGGATTGAAAAACAATGCTTTCTATCCCTATTTGAATATGGCACTACAGTATTGCAGTTAAGCTTGTACATTTGATGTCAACAAATTTGATGAACCGACATAGCTGTAAACACAAGAGCACACTGGCTCCGGTTCTGTGTGTGCGTATGCATTGTAAATTTTGCATAATCGCCTACGATTGACAACAGAATCGGTATCAGTGTGCTCCTGTATGTTTGTTATATAGTTCGCCAGATCCGTATGATTTTGATGATGTTACTTCGTCGAATTTTCGAAACTGCTTTTGAATGTTGCAGCGAAAAAGATCTGTTTCGCAAAAATTTCTATGCAAAAATATAATATTAATATTTGCTGGCAAAAATAATGCAAACGTGTGAAAACAATACATACTTGAAAATCTTTCGCCGGTATTTCCATGCTACGCGCATTATTTCACTTCGTACACAATTTTCGATTTTCTTTTCTTATTCCATGCCCTTCCTTATTTTACTATTATTATCTTTTGAGACATTTTTGCTCTTTGTTGTGCTCGGTGTGCTTTTGTTGCTTTTCTACCCACCTACAAACCTGCAGAGAGTTTATTTTTTACTTAACTTTTCGTTCGCATACAGAAAATCGTCAAATCTGGTGGAAAAGCAATGGAAAAAATCGATTTAAAAATATATACATAAAATATGGCAAAAAAAAAATGAATTGAACATAAAAGTTTGGAAAAGCGAATGTCGAATGAAACGAACAATATAACAATAGCTGAATACGCGCTACCTCAGCAATTGGCACGCAGTGAAAGCAAAATGGAAAACATCAAGCATAAGACGTTAAAATGGATTTTGTTTAATGTCACGAATTCGTGGATTCCGGATTTATGGTTGAGATAATTTAATAGAAATTGAAACTATACAAGACACAGATCAGGCACACACACACAAACATACACTTTATACATTGACACGCAATATTCTTATTGTACGTAAATCTTCAATGAAAATCCACAAGAATAAATTTAAAATGTATAACATAAGACCACGAAAGCAGGTTAGTTCGTGGAAAATAAAAAAAATCCTTATGGAAAAAGGTTCATTATATCATTTGCACCGATGGACAGGATCAAGTTCGCATGCTCAGACTTCTTCATTAATACATTATTTAAGACTTTATTGTTAATGGATCCCTTAGAGCCGACATTTCCAAACATGACAATTTATGTGAACCCAAAAACCGGCATATTTGCTGGAAAATATGTTCAATGGTTTTTTATGGCCTCTGGAAAGGAATGTTTACCAATTTATGGAAATAAAAGTTATCATTGATAATTAAAATGAATATCACCGTAAAAGTTTCGCCATTATTGCCGCTGGAAATTAATGGGTGGGAAGAAGTATTTTTATCCATTTTAAGTCGATTAATGGAAACGATTTCTAATAACATCATTACTACGTGCAAAGCATACAAATCGAAAACCACCAAGCTAAAAATTGATATTGATGTAACTGATTCGTTTTCTGCTTAAGATTAGCACATTATCTTTCTCTTTCTCTCTCTTCTTCTCTTAGTACACTTTCCGTGAAAACGATAATTTCCTTTCAAACTCAATAAGGTGAGGTGTCATTCTGCTCATATTACATGGTCAAAGAAACACCATACTCGAAATGGGTTTCGCATACAGTGTAAGAATGGAAAAGATAGCGTGAGCTAAAAAATATCGGCACATCTATCTAAACTTAAGTAATTACTCGAGAATTACTATTCCACTTTGGGATTAATTTTGAGTGTGTTTTTTTTTACTCGGTTGGAGCAAACTTTGCTCATCCACAAAATGAATTTACAGATAAAAACGCTTTGCTCGATGAGTATGTACTGTACTAACTAACAATAACAGTGGAAAATGTAATCA